GTCTAAAATTGTCTTCAGTGGGGCCAGAATCCTTACCTACTCCCTGTGCTCCTGTTTTCCCTGAGAAGTGCTACGAGGCAGTGATGTGTGTCAAAAATACCGGTAGTATTGGGGAATTTTCCAGTGGAGGGTGCCTCCATCAGCAGATCCCGAAGCATTTGATTGAACTTTCAACAGATACTGGGTGGGTTCCTGATGTTTCCCTGGCTCCTCTGCCCGTGGCTTCCAGACTCCATCCAGGCAGCTTGGGGACCTGCAGACATTTAGAGGGGGTTAAAGCTAAATGCCACCTTGCTTGTTCTTCTACCCAAAACTTAGGAATCCCTGCTTGTGTGGGATGTTTTAGGCCATTTAAATTTTTTTCAAAAGTCAATGAAAAATCTAGTTTCTGATCACTGCCAGTAAACAGAAAAAGCAGGACTAAATAAGACAGCAGCTGACTATGTGTCTATTTAAAAATGAAGTGATATCATGCCAGATTCTGAAATCCCTTTTTTCCAGGATTAGACTTGCAACCACATAAAAATTGCATGGCTTAAACTTTTCCAAACCACTTTAAAGTTGGAAGGACGCTGATGGGTCCTGTTTTGTCTTGTGTGCGTTCGAGGAAAGCCCGATGTTGGAAATATTTATTCTGTTGTTCCGATGTTTATGAACAGCATTGCCTAAAGTCCATCTAATGTCCATTAGATAAGCCCTAGAGCCATTATGGGCATCCCGAGACATTTAGAGGTCCGTTAATTGCTTGGTTGCTTTGCTTGCTTGCTGTTCCTGGAGCGCATCTAAGGAACATTTCTTCATATGCTTCTGCTACAGGATTTTTCCACTTGCTGTGTTGTTTCCACATCGCTTAGCAAGCGCTTTGTTGTTTCTGCCTCTCCATTCCAAGTGCCTTACTTAATAACATGTTATATGATTAGCGTGCAAACAGAGTCTAATCTCTCCGAGCACGGACTCCAGCTGAATTCAGTGGTGCATTCATGGAAGACTTAGCAGAATTAGGGGCAGAGAGGAGGCGGTGCTTTCCTGCTGCAGTTGTCACCTGAAAAGTGATGTGAAATGGCACTGTGGGAGCCTGCCTTAGGTGTCAGTCAGTGACAGGCTGCTCAGTTTGTGAGTGAAATACATTTTTTTCTGTTTGCCATCCCCATAGTTACTGCCTCAGAGGTTGAAATTACTGTGTTTTCTGTCCCTCAGATTGTCACTGAAAATTAGCTTTGTCATTGGGATGTTTGTTCTTGGTGTTGATGGGCAGGCTCTTGTTCAGTATCCCAGAATAGTGTTGGCTGTTTTGAACTAGAAGCCAGGATAGATTTGCACGTTACAGACTAACCCAAATAGATGTGTATATAAAACAAGCTTTCGTCAACTGAAGCTCCCTTCATCAGATGCTTCAGCTCAGGAAAGCTAGCGCTGTATATACTACTTGGTTAGTCCGTAAAGTGCAAATCTGCCCTGCCTTATACTTGACTTCAGGCAACCGCAGCTAACTACGCCTCTGCAGAACTGGCCAGAAGAAAGATTATGTCTGTCAATAAAATAAGAATCACAGAACAGGATTTTGGAGTAAAAGCTGCAGTTTTATGCCGCCACCCCTCCAGTAGGAAAACCTGGCTTGGGCTTGCTGTGCAAACCCTTGCCCCGCCTTCTCCCCTAAGCAGTGTGCACATACCAGGCAGCTGGTCAGCATGAGTTCCCTGTCATGCTCCAGCATTTCTGGAGGCGGCCAGGCTATTTATCAAAGAAACTTCCCGGTCCTTAATGCTACAAGGAAAGACAAAGGCAGGCAGCTTCTGAGGAAACCTGCATGCAAACATGCATCGGGCAGGGAGGCATTAGCAGCCTGGGACATGAAGGCAGAGGGAAGCCCTCCTCAGCTAAATAAATTGATGGTCACTGTCTGCGGGCACATTACATGTCCTTGGCCTTTGCCCTTGAGCGGTTGCCACACTCCCTGGATATCTCCAGATTCAGAGCAAGGGCTTTTCAGCTGGGCACAGACCCAGGAGTTGGTGGGGGCACCCGTTGTAAAGCCCTCTATAAGCAAGGCTGGCTTTAAGTCCCCCGGGCCACAGTTCCTTTCCTTGAATGACAAGAGAAGCTTGTTCCCAACGGGCTCACACATTGAAGTGGTGCACAAATAAAAGCTGGAAATCAGAATGGATTTTGCTTGTAACTCCTTGACAACAGAGCTCGTGGGCTTTACCTTGAGGTGTTTTACAAAGAAACTTTCAGTGGGCTTTATCACCTCCACCCAGCCCTTGAACTGTTTGCTGGCAGGGGTGAGAAGCCATTTGTTCTTGGTGATGTATGCAGGACAGACCATGCACAGCTCTCACACCATCAAAGAAGTTAGAGATTGAAGAAAACACCTGCAGTCACCTAGTCAGGATGACTCCCTACATGACATTCTCCAGGGTTTTATCTGGTTACTTACTTCTCTCTCCTGGAAAAGCTACCAGATTTGCCATGTATTTTCCAGAGAATGGGTCTGCTTTGTGCGGTGATTCTCAACCAGGGTGTTGCAAGATCCTTTTAAGGGTGACACAGGATGCACAATATTAGCACAAATGCCTACATGTGATTCACCCACAGATTTCCAGAAGGAATCCACAGAGAACTATTCAGCCCAGCTGTGGGCTTTGCAGCAGAAGAATTGCTCTAATATTTTTCTATAGTGAAAAAAGAGTGAAAGCTCAGAGCTGGCATCTTCCCAGAGGGGCCTGATGTGTGCAGCCATTTAGCACTGGGGGTTTTAACCCTGCAGAGACTTTATCTTCATTAGGGGCAGAAGGCAGGGGTGCATCTGGTGTGATGCCAGCCAATGCGCCAGGGCTTCCAGCAGATTGGAGGCTTGTTGTACACTAAAAACGTTAAGCAGCTTGTCTTTGACCTCCCTACAGTGTATAACTGGACGGTTGACGAGGTGGTGCAATGGCTTATCACTTATGTAGAGCTACCGCAGTACGAAGATACCTTCAGGAAGCTGCAGCTTAGTGGACACGCCATGCCCAGGTCAGTGCCAGCTCCATTTTCTTACTTCTCTGTTGGCTGTATGTGCATGAGAGCAATGGACGTTGCAGGATTTCGTGGTGGGGTTGGTTGTTTGCCTCTGTGCAGAGGGCCAACACAAGCCTTGCCTTGCTTAGCTACCATTTGAACCCTGTTGCATGGGCTTAGGGGATGCATCTCTGTGGACGCAGAAAGTGCAGTCTTGTGGATACAGCCCCGGGTTAGGACCAAGCTGGCTTGGGTCCAGTTCCTGACCCGCCACCTCCTTGACTGTGGGCTAGTCCCTGAGTCTGTGTTGGCTCTCCAGCTGTCACATGTGTATAATCCTCCCCGCAGCCTCCCCCAACTCTTCTCTGGCCCAGTCCCTTTAAAGCAGTGATTCTCACGCACAGTACCACAGCACCCTGGGGTGCGTTGAGATCCTTTCAACGGTGCTGTTCCATGTCACGCAGCATGAGCTCCATTCGGTTTGCAAACGTGATTCACAAGATTAAACTCAGATTTCAAATAGAAATTCATAGTGTGAAAAACATTCTGCCCTGTTGTGGTCTTTCTGAGATCTTTGCAGCAGAAGAATTGCTCTGTTATTTTTTGGCAGTCAAAAAAAACCAAGTGAAAACTAAGAGTCTGCATTTTCTGAGGGGTGGGGGCCTTAAGTCTAAAACAATTAAGCACCACTGCTTTTAAAGTGTAAGCTCTTCTAGGCAAGGATGATCTGCCGTCATGTGCATCTTCAGTGATCTGCAGAAATACACCCTGATCCTGGTTTGGGTTTCTACGTAACGATCTACCCGGGATCTTTTGAGCACCTATTGCCAACCCTTTACAGAAGCAGGATATTATCTGCTGTGGTCCCCCTGCTTTCCCTGCAGCAGGTTCAGATGTGATGTCTGGTCCAGTGTCAGGGTGAACTGTGTATTGTTCCTAAGAGATTAAACTGTAGAAGCATCTGGGCTGGTTTGGACAGGACTGATCCTACCTCAGGCAGGGGTTGGAGTAGAGATGACCTCTGCAAGTCCCTTTCAGTCCAGCTGCTCTATGATTTCTGTGATAACCCTAATAATAAGCAAGAGTGGCTGAATCTCTTTGCATAACAGGACAGCTTACTCTTTTAATTTGGGGAGGCCCTAGCAGCTTGGCAGGAGCTCAGTGCTGCCCTTTGGCCCGAATTTGTTATTTTCTCTGACAAGGGGCTTGGAGGAGGAGGAGGCATAACCAGCAATAAAACAAGGCTTTTGTGGCAAGATAAGTTTTACCTGGAACCACTGCTCTCCGGGCCTGCGCGCCCTGGCCTGATGATGGTTTCCCCCCTCTGGGTGATGTGCTCTTTCTGGGCAGTGCACAGGACAGGGGTCAGAGAACAGCCATATGGGTCCGAGAAAGCAACCGATGGACAGTGCGGCCCCATGGGGAGAGATGGGTGCATTGGGGGAGGTGACCTTTGGTTTCCAGGTTAAATGGAATGAAAACTTTATTTGTATTTGTCTGCCGCTTGAATCAATGTCCTCCTGGATGCCCAGGAAGCTATTTTTCAATACCCGTTCTGCCTCAAAGGCATTGAGTCTTGTAGTGGCCTTCTGTTCACTGACACCTGAGGGGACAGTGCCCTGGCTCGATTTGTTGTTTCTCCCCACAGAGCTCTCGCCCTAGAGTTACTTTTTCCAGACCAGTATGTAACTGCTTGCCTTTTCTTCCCTGAAGGCTAGCAATCAACAATGCCACCATGATGGGAACAGTATTGAAGATGACTGACCGGAGCCACAGGCAGAAGCTGCAGCTGAAGGCTCTGGACACGGTGCTGTTTGGGCCTCCTCTCTGTGAGTAATGCTGAAGATCCCCTGCCCTATAAGTGGGAGGGGAAATGTACTCAGTGCAGATGCAGAGCTGAGATGTGCATAGGTGAACCCATACCTGGCCCTACCAAAGGTCACTGAGGTAAGTTGCACGAAACAGGCAGGCATTAAGAGATGCCATCCTGTTGAATATGTAGGTGCAGCTCCCAAAGGCATGTCCAGGTGTGTAGTTCCACCTTTCTACTAGCTGGAACAACAGCACAGTCCACAGGGCACAACACTGAGGTCAGTCTGTAGCCTCATAGCAAATTGGTTATTTTCTCCCTTGTGGAATGGAGCTGCCTTGTGACCGGGCAGGGGAGATGTTCTCTAGTTGACCCAGCTCTCTCATCAATGGGACAGGTACAAATTAGACTGATCTTCCATGAGGAACAGACCAGGGCAGGCTGGTTGAGAAGACCTGTTAGACTGAATGGAAACCAGGAACTGAGTCCTCCTCGCAGAGCACTGCCTCATGGGGTCTGGGTGGGGGCCCCTGCCTTGTCCTACCCCCTCAGCGCTGCTGGTGGGGCTCTGGGAGCTGTGTTTTGAATGAAGGAAGGTAAATCTGATGGGGTTGTGTGGTAGCTGTCACGTTTTCCCTCTTGTCTCTCCCTTCCACTTTGTTTTCCTTTTTTTTGTATTTCTTTTCTTTTTCATGCATCTGGTAGCACCGAGCCAGCTGCTTCCCTGGGCAGTGGGCTAATGTAGGATAAAGGACAGTTCTTTAATCTTTGTTCTACTCCCTACCAGCACATCTCTGGGTGCATCTTGCTCAGGGTCACACCTACAAAATAGGGGACTGTGTCCCGGAAACAAGGGACTCCAAAAAAGGCTTTGGCGGATGCCACCAAGCAACACATCAGCCCCCTGTGCAATGCTGTAGCAAGAGGGACTCTTGCCTGCATGGAAAGGGTATGGAGGTGGTTTGACCTCTGTATGACGGTACTGGGGGGGAGGGATGGTGCTTAGCTGCATCCATTTGATCGTTTTGGCATCCCCACTGTAAGAGATGCGGAGCTCTGAATAATTCTGGGGCTCTTGATCAAAGGCTGAAAATATGCCTCACAGTGAAAGGCTTGAAGAGCTCAGTCCTTTTTGTTTATTGAAAAGAAGCCGTAGAGGCGAGTTGAATACAGGGCATGTTACTATCTCAGGGAAAAGTACTAGGTGCCAAAGGGTTCTGGCATCCAGTGGAGAAAACGCAGCTTTCGTCAGACAACCTTAAGTGCAAAGGAAAAGCTGCTCTTCCTGTAAGCATTGAAGTCTGTCTTCATCAGCGGTGATACCCCATCCTGTTATAATGACCGTAGCAGTATTTTCTTAACAAAGCTTTTAAATCTGAGCTCTTTCTGTTCTGACAGCACAAGTGGAAAGGCAGCCAAGACTAGGAACTGAATGGGATATGGTCTGAAAGCCTGCGGTACAGAACTTGTGGTGGTGGGTGGCCACTGGGTAAACACCCAATGAATTATTAATAATTGCTGTAAAGGACTAACCCTGTTCTTCAGCCTAATATTTGCGCCTCAATTAGCTGATTCAGGGGGTTGTCTTCATTTAACTCTGCGATTTGTCAGAGAGCTCTTCATGCAGAATTAGATCCTGACGGAATGGATTACAAAACTGCAGGGTGCCTTGAACAGCTGGCCATTCTTAGCTACACTGAGGAAGTCCTTGGTCTCCTTTTAAACTGCTTACCTCTGGATAGAGAGAGTTGAAACAAATTCTGATCAAGTGAAAGCGTCTTCTCTTGACAGGTATATCCCATTGGGTACATTAAACTGTTGGCTGATAGACTGCAGCCCAGAGGTGCAAGACTCTTGCTTTTACTCGCTGAGGCCCAGGGTAGCTGGTGATTTGGAGGGTTTCAAAACAGATGGACTGTAAAAGGCACACTGTCGAGTCATCCATGGCAAAGCCATCAGAAATGGTAGATAAAATCCTGATCCTGCAAGTAGAGATCACAGCATATATGCAGAGAGAATATTTTGCTTGCTCACAAGACAGGACATCCTTGGCTGGATGTGAAGCCAGAAGTTTGTTCACTAGTGAAACTCTGAGATCTGATGCATAGCTCCAGTAGGCGTGTGGTCACCTACATCTCTTGCCTAATGTGCTGGATGTTGGGTAGAGCTTTTAGGATTTTGTGGGGACTGAAGTTCTTCAGAGAATCCTAGAAAGCCATCCTAGACGCATGCTTGCCTACTCTGTTGTTAAAGGCGCAGACAAGCTGTGCATCAAACCATGAACCAACCCCCTCCTGAGTACAGGACTCAGTTTTTCAAAACTAATTTGCTCTCCTGCTGCTGTGAATAAAGGCCTTGTACTTCAGGTTGAGAAACAAGGGAGAAAAGAGAAACCCTTAAACATAAAAAATCATAGAGAGGTAGGGGTGGAAGGGACCTCAAGGGATTAAGTCCAACCCCCTGCCTGAGAGGTCTTGTGTCCTAGAGTCACAGAAAATGAGGGTTGAAGGGAGCTCAGGAGGTCACATCTAGTCCAATTCCCTGCTCAAAGTAGGACCAGTCCCAACTACATCATCCCAGCCAAGACTTTGTCTAGCCGGGTATTAAAGCCTCCAAGGATGGAGACTCCACCACCTCTCTGGGGAGCCCGTTCCAGTGCTTTACTGTCCTCCTCGTGAGAGAGTTTTCCCTAATATCCAACCTCAACTTCCCTTGCTGCAGCTTGAGCCCATTGCTCCTTGTTCTGTCATCCACCACCACTGAGAACAGTCCAGCTCCATCCTCTTTCAAACCCCCCTGCAGGAAGTTGAAGGCTGCTATTCAGTCTCCTCTTCTCCAGACTAAATCAGCCCAGTTCTCTCTGTGTCCCTTACAGAGATCAAACCTGCAACCTTGGTGGTGTTAGCATCATGCTGTAGTGAAAACAGCAGTATCACACTGACAACAAAACTCTACTTACTATATGCTGTTGTCATTTCAACAACTTTGTATGGCTGCGAGACCTGGACACTCACTAGGGCACTGGAAAAGCAAATTTGAGACCTTTGAAATGTGGTGTTTCAGAAGACTTCTTGAAAGCATAAGAAGAAGAAAGATGCAGTGGTTTGGACATGTAAGAGGAAGACCCGGCATCCGAGCTTCCATTTCCTACATCCCACCCTTCATCCCAAAGGGCCGCAAAACACTTGGGGGCCACTCCAGCCACCTCTGGAGTGGAATACAACAGGTGCCAACTATCTCATTTAATTTGTTAACCTGTGTACCATCATCAGGGCTGAAAATCACCCTTGCCCCAAGGATTGATAGGGCATAAAAAATGCTGTGTTCAAGTGATGCAGCCTGGGAATTTAGGGCAGCAGTGTGTAATTAGCCAAGTGAGAATGCTATCTTTGCCACTAATGGCAGCAGCCCAGCTCTTGTTACACGGGCTGTAGGAGTTTTAATCACCACCAGCAATTAAAAAATTGGATTTGTCTCTTCCCTTGATGCCTTTGAAGCACAGGGTGCTGTTGACCAGCAATGACCTCAGAGAAAGACTGTCCCCCAACTCACCAGTCTTAGGGTGGTCTATCCAGCATCAGCAAGGCCGGACCTCCCATAGCTTCTGGGATTTTTGGAGATGTAATTGGTATAGGTGCCTCTCTGATTCCCTTTGCCAGGGCAGATGGGCACCTCGTGTCATTCGGTTCAAGCAACTGCAAAAATACATAAGGTGTGCAGGGCTGTCAGCTAAGCTCCACAGGCCTCTTCACTACCACATCTATGCACACACTGACTTGGGGGAGTTGTTAGGAGGAGCGGATCTCATGAAGAGCGAGTGCTTCTCAAAATGCTCTGGTTCCAGGTCTAGCTTCGGGAGCCAAAGTAGATCTGGGGGGAGCGGCGTTATGACAGGCATCTTGTTCCAGTGCTGCTCTCAGCTCCGATTATCCTCGCTGGGAATCGAAGGTGGACAGTATCTTTTGCTTTAGTCGGGCAGCTGTTTGAGTCTGTTGTGAGGGCTGGAGTGCTGTTATAGCTGCGATGGTCCAGGAAATATGCAAGAATTTTGCAAGAGTGCCTTGCAAATAAGCAAGAAATATGCAAGGGTTTGGGGTTTTTTGAGGATTCTTTTTATTAAACTAGCTGGACAGCTAGGAGAGACTTTAGACAAGCTTTCAGGCATCAAATGCCCTTCTCTGTGCCTGAGAACTTGTCTAACATCTCCCCCAACTATGCAGTTGGTCCAATAAAAAACAAAACCAAACCACAAAAAGCCTCAGGCTCAGATGGACAGAAATGGGAAGGCTGCTTGCCTAAGCTAATCAGAGGTCCGGTCTACCCATAAAAGGACAAGGTTTCTAAATGGGATATGGCACCTGGGAGTGTTAGAGTGGCAGGATTTTCTTCCTTTTCATTAAATGTTTATTCCGTTAGTGTCATGCCGCCGAGATGGATGATCCCAGATTTCCTTTGGTATGAATTCCAGTGTGGCTGTTTTTCTCCTGTAATAATTAAAAGCTCATTTGACAAGTTGTCTGATGCCTGCTGGAGCACTGTTTGCTTAAACCAATAGAACCTAGTGACTAAATATCAAATTCATTATCGTTCTGAGATTTACCATCCACTTTAAATATTTAGAGTCAAGTGAGTTGTGTTTAGATTACCCGCACCACGCTGAACAGCAGCTTTGAGCTGAGGCCCAGTGGAGAGTCTCATAAATGACTTTGCTGCTTAGAGATCCATTAGCTTTATTGTATAGTTTTGTCATTGTCCATGACAGCAACTGCGCTAAAATAACCTGTCATATGAAATGATTTCCAAGGAGAAGCAACTACAAATGGAGGGTGATGAAGGGAGTAGGAGAACATTGTGATCAGTACTACAATGCCCTCCTCTTGCAGAAAGGGATCAGTATGGTATGTTTTTGGCCTTCAGAAGAAAAGGTGAGGTGTTCTGGAGGTAAGAAATAATGAATGGTGCAGAGAAGGTGCATCCGGTATCCCCGTTCACCTAACTTCATAGGCCGCATCCACACAT